ATAAAGTGACATTTCAATCTGGTTTTCTGACAAACTTAGATGAGGATACTGTGTAGTTTGAACACACGCACAATGACAAAGCACTTGTCTTTTCAGCCTTTCCTATCAGAACAAACACTTGGGTAAAACTGAAAATTTCTCATTTGAGATTTATTTAAATAGAGCAATCAATACTTTATTTCACCACTCTCTAAAGGGCATATAAGAGAACAGAAACAAGTTTTTTAAAAAATCCTTTTTTTTTTCCTTCACGTTTAGAGCCCAGCTAATTGTTCACTGACAGGAGTTTTGCTCATTAACTAGACAATATTCATGTTTACAGTTCTTTAATAAGATAACATGGGATTAACTGACAGCTTTTTAATTGCTTTTCCCTCCTCCCCCTCATAGCAAATAAACCTTGTTAGAACCATATCTGTTCAGGTAAAAAAATAAATAAATAAAATTAAAAAAAAAAAAAGAAAGAAAAGAAGCTGGCAAATGTTCCTATGTATATATCATCCTCAAAATTAAGATTTAATTCGTATTCCTTTGTGATTTCAGGTTTGGTTCTCAATGCCTGATATTAAAATTCTTCCTGCCGATTTCAAAAGTTCTTGGACCCGGCCTCCAGTCTACACAACATCATATCAAGGCAACACTGCAAACTTTAAAGATGTTTACATAAGAAAGTATTTAGAATCCACTTAGAGGAAGTTCCTATTTAGTGAAACTATGCCTACAATGAAGTAGCGTGAACACTGTACAAAGTAGTAACATACTCTACTGTGCAGATGTCTTTAAGGCTCCACTTAAAGGCAAAGACATTTTGGAGAAAAAAAAAAAAAAAACCCTATTTGTTTATTTTCAATTTGTGTTACAAGTTCGGTAAACAAAAGGAAAGACCACACAATAAATGTGATGAGATTTAGAATACTGCATCCTGTTCTGAGCTCCCCAGTTCAAAAAAGACAGGGATCTCCTAGAAGGAGTCCAGTGGAGCACCACAGAAATATAAAGGACCTGGAACACCTCCCATATGAGAAAAGGCTGAGTAACCTGGCACTGTTCAGCCTGGGGAAAAAAAAGACTGGGAGGGGATCTGATTAATGTTTATGAATACCTAAAGGGAGGTGGGAGGCAAATGGATGAGCCAGGCTCTTCTTGGTCATGTGTAGCAATAGAACAAGGAGTAATGGCCTAAAACCTGAACATAGTAAGTTCTGTAACAACATGCAGAACGACTCCTTTACAGTAAGGGTAGTGGAGCACTGGAACAGATTGCTGTGGAGATGTTACAGAGCCTCCTTCTATGGAGATACTCGAGATCCATCTGGACTCTATTATAGGGTACCGGCTTTAGAGAGGGGGTTGGACTTGATGATCTCTTGAGGTCCCTTCTACCCCCTGCAAATTCTGTCATTCTGTGAGATGACTCTCTAACTTAAAAAAACTAGATTTGATTCTCCTGTCAGCACAGCAATGTAATTCCATGGAAATTCCACTTAGTAGTCATCTTGGTTACCCCAGTGCAAATGAGAAGAGAATTAGATTCTTCTTTTCCAACAAAGTGAGGGGAATAATTACATCACTGTTTCTGTACATACTATTATTAAGCCATCAGTAATTCCCAAGTAGACTAAACATTACATGCAATATGGGTATATTTCTCATTATTTACTGATGGTGATGATCTAAAATTTTGCTGCACTTAAATCAATCCATTAGCTTTGAATTCTGCCAACTAACATTGCAGAAAAGCTGCTGAAAAAAATAGAAAATACAATTTCTTAATTATACACCATCAGTAAGAAAGCATATTTACTAATTAATAATTAGTTCCTAGTGCTGCTATTTAACTATAGCCATCTAAGGTTTTACAGCACAATGCTTAAAATGGGCCTTTTTAAGTCAGAAGGAATGACCTGCAGGTGCTCTCATAGAAGCTCCAATACAGGCAACAGGGATTACCATAATTACTTTGCCACTCTACAAGTAGTTAATGGGATTACACCCTAAGGCTATCCAATTGCTCAGAGTGCTCAGTGCAAATTTTCTGAAAGAATCTGGATAAACACAAGTGCTTTAATGAAATGCTTCATAATTTCATCTACTGCACCACAAAAGGATGACTAATAAAGCACCCTAAATCAAAGAAATTGAGAACACTTAACTACTTTGGTTTTCTGTATCTCCTGTCATGGATGCAGTCAATCTTTTATCTGTCTCATTCAGTCTCATTTATCCCTCTGTTTTGCAATGCTGTGAAGTCTGAAAGATGCCTTATCATTCTTGGTGGGGTGTATATGTTTCTTCTCTTTTTCCTAAGTTCTATATATCTCTTGCATCTTCTACTAGTGACCAATAACTCCCCAAGCTAACTAATCCATAACCCAAACTTCTTTTTCACCAATCAACTAAAAAAAAAAATCCTAATCCCACATTCATCTTATACTGTTCTAGAGATCTTATCTTTCACAGAATCACAGAAT